AATGTACTTCTTTCATTTTAATTAACGTTCATATGAAGAATCAAGAAGGCTTAGCTATTTGCTTTCTATGATCCATTATATTCTTCTATGATCAAGTACTGAAGGCTCAAAACTACACACAAACACAATCGATGACAGAACAGCACAATTTAAAAGGCAAATATTTACAATACCAAGTTCATATAATATTTGACTGTTACTAACTTTCACTCTACTTCCTGGATTATTTCTAAACCTTGCATCAGATTTCTTGCTTGTACATTGGCCCTTTCTCTTGTTGAAGGGCCATTAGAATTAAAAGGATTTGGAGGTATTGGTAATTTGTCTCCTTCTCCATCCAACATTTGAACAACTACTTGCATTGATGTTCGATCCACAGTATGCCATTGAATGCACCACAGGCCTACTATTCCCAATTTTCTTGCAATTTTAGCATCCCCTTCTTCGTCAATATGAATCCTCACAGCCTCCCTTTCTTCTAAAATATTATAGATCCATTCAGGATAGTAAATATAGGGAGCATTTTCTGTTGTGTCATGGGTGATCCTTCTTGCTCCTATTAATTCAAGTAGCAACATCCTCAAACTATAAACATCTGTTTTGTGAGATACGCTTCCAAAATTTCATGAGAAGACCTCTGGAGCAATGTAACCTGATGTTCCTCTAGCATTAGTCATTGACACTATGCTTTGATCTTTGAAGCACAATTTAGCCAACCCAAAATCACACATTTTCGGAGTAAAGTCATCATCCAATAAAATATTGTGAGGTTTGATGTCAAAATGAAGTATGTGTTGCTCGCACCCTTGATGAAGATATTCAATTCCTTTGACTATACCTAAAGCAATTTCATGTAGCTTTTTCCAACCAATAAACTTTTGCCTATTGTCTGGTGAATTTATGAAATTTTGTAACGAACCATTTGGAAAGTATTCATAAACCAGTGCTCTTCTAAAGCCATCAGCACAGAAGCCCATTAAGCAAATAATGTTGACATGATGGATTTTGCCCATTGTTCCAACTTCAGTGATGAACTCTTCACCATTTCCTTCAGAATTAGTGAGGATCTTCACTGCAACTTTGAACTCAGATGAAATGTTTCCTTTGAACACAGTACCGAAAGATCCTTCCCCTAACTTGACTTCAAAGTGATTGGTAATCGTCTTGATTTCAGCATAAGAATATCTGGTGGGCTTGATAGCTCTATAGTCTTTCAAAAACTTCTCAATTATTGCTTGGCTTTTTTCCGTGGTTTCTAAGAGTTGCTGATATAAAGAATTGCAACAAGAGTACTCACCACTAGAAGCGAGCTCGTGATTGATCCTGCACATATAATAAGAATTTGAATATTTAGTTTTCAAAAGTATAACGTGCTCACAGTAGATTATACTAAGTTCATTTTGGAAGCTAACCTGTAATTACGAATTTGTTTGATGAACCTGCAAAAGAAATTAACATGATTGGTCAGCTAAGCATGTCGATATAAATATCCCAAAGAAGTCACGCCTTATCATTTGAAGCACATTGATGCTCGGCATGAGGCAAGAAATGTGTGGTGATTTTATATGTTTATTAGAACAGATGATTAACTACATTCTAGGAGAAATGCTACGGTCAGTTTATGTAAATGATATAAATTGCCATACATATATATTGAAAAAGAAGGGCAAAAGTTTTGATGGAAGAGTTTCATAGTACCACTGTGACAATCCCCGAAACATGTAATATCATAGCTGATATTACTATTCTTGAATCCACATCTTGTTCCATTTGATTCACAATGTTTGCACATTGGATTAGACCACATCAAATGAAGAATGTTCTCAACATCAGAAATCTCAAGTGGGACAGATGAAATGTTAAATATTTTGCTACAAAATAACAAGTGAAGTTGTCCAATCTCGCTATAAGATGAAACGGCATACACATGGTAAGCAGAGCTGTCGAGGCATGTTGAAATAATCGCTCCATCTCTTGGCGACGAGCAATTGAAAATTGTAAAGCCGTTAAGATTCTGGTCTATGAACTGGTAGAGCCGGGAAAACGGGCCGAGCCGTCGGGCGGCCCTTTTAGGCCCTGAAATTATGAGGGCCGGGCTTGATATTTTTCTCTTAAAATGAAACATAAGCCCTGGAGGGCTAGCCCTGGAGGGCCGAGGGCTTAAAAGGGCCGGCCCTGGAGGGCCACGGGCCGGCCCTTTTAAGCCCTTTTATTTTTTTTTTATTTTAAAATTTTTTTATATAATATTAATGTTATTAATTTTTTACATTGTTAATAATATTTCAAATATTTAGTTATTATTATTATTTTAAAAGTAAATTTAGTTTTAGATAATAATTTATCCAATTAAATTTTTAAAAAATGGGTTAATTGGACTTTAATAATGATTTGATTTATATTATATGCGTTGATATTTTTAAATTATATATATATTTGATAATAGAATATTTTTATACTTATATAACTTGTGATTCTATAATTTGAATTAGAAATTCATGAGTTTTAACAGCAATGTTTCTCACATTAAAGTAAAAAAATAGTTAGATTGCAAAATTTAAAAATAAAATTCTTATAAAGAAGAAAAACTTGATATTTTTGTTACGAAAGAAAAGTATACTTATGAAGAAAAGTAATTAATTATAGTGATGATGAAGTTTCAAAAGATTAATAATAGTGTTTATTTATTGCACAATTGCATTATAGATAAAACTTTTAGATGTTGTTATCTTGTTAATGAATGTTTTAGATGTTCTTAGATGTTGATGAATATTTATATATGATGATATTTTATATGTGACTTAATTTTATTCATATTTATGTCTTTTATTAATAATTTCATTGATTTATTTTTATAAAAAATATGATAAATATAAAAATAGTATTTTTCTTAAACGGGCCAAAAGCCCGCGGGCCGGCCCTGGCCCTGTAGCTTAAGGGTCGGGCCTAGCAAATTGGGGTATTTTTAAAATTCCAGCCCTGGAGGGCCGGCCCTTTTAAGCCCGCCAGCCCTGAAGGGCCGGCCCTGGAGGGCCGGCCGGCCCTGATTCCCGGCTCTATGAACTGGAAAGGAGAATGAAGTGGAGTGAGATTATGGACATGCCTTGGAAGCCAACCAGAAGGATCAAATAACTGAATGGTTTGAGATTTGTAATCAATATGTTTGACACTGAGCTTGACTGATCCAGGAAGCTCAAGAACAGCATGTTTGGCAGAAGAACATTATAAATCAAACCCAGGATAGCCGCATTGTTCTAATTGGCATCCTTTTACTTAGAAGTTAGAAAGGAAACCGAACAAGAAGTTTTCCACGTGATGTTTTAGGTTCTGGACGGCTATTTGAGCTTCCTACAGACACTAGAAACCTTAGAGTTAGCAACAAGAATACAGAGAAGAAGGAGTTTACGACCGCAGTTTCCATATCTCCAGCGTTTGGCTTGCCAAAGAGAAACCACGCTATCAAATAGGTACGTCCATTAATTGTTTTTTTTTCCTGCTTACGTTGACGTTCCATTATTGAATTTTGATGTAATTCTGGTTGCCAATAATATTATATAAGTGGTACAAAACCATTTTTTGGGAAAAATATATCATTTTTTGGTTCAAGGTGTGTGTGTATCATATATTCATATGCATTCCCCTGTTATCGTATATATTTTTAAAATAAAAAATATAATTAAAAAAACTAGTGTCGATGAAATTGAATTCGTTTGGTTTGTATATGCGATAAAGAAAGCAATAAACTATCTAGTTAAGAGGAATCTATCCATTAGCCTTAGCGCACTGAGATGACTATTTTTAAAAGAGGAATCTATCCATCACCCTAAGCACCCTGAGATGACTATTTTTCGCTATTGACAAATTTGGAAGGTATTACTTGTGTTTTGAAAAGAATGCTTTTCTGTTTGAATTTTTTAATCCATAAAAACATTTAAATACTTAAAAGTAAAGAGTTAGCAACACACGGACAGAATAAAATCTCAATCATTATCATATTATCAGTAAAATATTTTTTTGCCCGCATCTTGTCAGTAAAATACATATACCATATCCCTGTACTTATACATTTGTTTATCTGGTGTAGCAGCAGCAAGTGGCATTTTTAAAATGATCCTTTTAATTATCCAGGGTAAGGCACTCCATCATAACTTCTAACTTCTTTGATTCCATCTTGCATAAAACATCCTTGCAAGTTGCATTGTAATGAGGATCTCACAGAAAAAAGAAAGTCAGAGATCTCTACTGCTCATGTATAAAACTTTTATGAATTTACTGTTAAAGATTTGTCTTAGACATCAACCTTTTTCCCCTTTCACAAATGATTTTTATGACCTATTCATTTGATTATTACTCCTCCGATTCTTAATATAGGACTTAGTTATTGAGTTGATTTTGGTCTTAAATATAAAACTTATTTCTCATATTTATCAAATTTTTTTAAATTACCTTTATGAATACTCCTTCAACTATAATCAAGTAGAAGAGGGAGATGAAATATTAAGGAAGATGATTATGGTGTTTTAGAAAAAACATGTCATATTTCTTATGATTAACTGAGTTACCTGACTTTCTTAATTTAATCAAATTAGTTAAATAGGTTTTATATTAAGGACTAGAAGAGTATAATCTTTATTGAATAATAGTGCACTTTTATTTTATTTTTCTTGTACGATGTATAAATTATTGTTTATAGGTTGCGAAGGAAATAGCTAATGCCAAGAGCTCACCTTCACACTAATATATATTCAATATGTGGCACTAACTATTTTAACATCACAGTTATTTTCTCTTTATGGAAGCTAATATTAGTTTTTGTTTTTTCTATTTTTCAGATCTTGTGGGCTACGTACACACTATATTAGGTAATCCCTTGACTACTCCAACAGATTTATGTAATTCATAAGAGTGTGAATATGAATAGTTTAATAACTAGCCAAGCAATAATAATGAAGTACTCGTCCAAGGGCACATTCTAATTTTTTGAATTTTCATGAACGGTTTATCATACTCTTGGTAAAATTGTTCTGGGGACTCCATTTGTCATTGCCCTTTTGATCTATAAATGTCTGCGGAGACATTTATCAATGTATGACAACATTGAAGAATTTTTGCAAAGTGACAACAATATCATGCCTATAAGATACTCCTATGGAGAAATCAAGAAGATGACAAAAGGGTTTAAAATCAAACTTCAGAAAGGAGGTTATGGCTTTGTGTTCAAAGGCCAACTTCAAAGTGGTCGTGAGGTAGCTGTCAAGATGGTGGATAAGGCCAAAGCTGATAATCAAGAATTCATAAATGAAGTTGCTACACTTGGTATAATCCACCATATGAATGTTGTGCAACTCATTGGTTACTGTGTTGAGGGATTGAAACGTGCTCTTATATATGAGTTCAGGCAAAATGGATCTCTCGACAAATACATTTTCTCTAAACACGATAATGAGCAATCCTTCGATCTTCATCAATTGTATGCCATTTCTGTTATAGTAGCTCATGGTATTGAATATCTTCACAAAGGTTGCAACATGCAAATTCTGCATTTTGATATAAAGCCACACAACATCCTTCTTGATGACAACTTCATCCCTAAGGTTTCTGATTTTGGCCTTGCTAAACTCTACCCTACTAGTGATAGCATTGTGTCACTCACAACTATAAGAGGTACGATAGGATACATGGCCCCTGAACTTTTCTATAGAAACGTGGGTGGAATCTCTAACAAAGCGGATGTGTATAGTTTTGGGAAGTTATTAATGGACATTGCTGGTAGAAGAAAGAATCCAAATGTGTCAGCTGCACAGTCAAGTCATTTTTACTTCCCCTTCTGGGTTTATGATCAATTAAATGAAGGAAATGAAATTAACATAGAAAATGCAACAGAAGAAGAAAGGAAGTTGGCAAGGAAAATGATGATTGTGAGACCATGGTGCATCCAAACTAGGCCAAATGATCGTCCTTCAATGAACAAAGTTGCAAAGATGCTTGAGGGGGAGGAGCATGACTTAGAAATGCCTCAAAAGCCTTATTTTTATCCACAAGATATTCCGAATGTGGATGTTAGTAACCATTCAAATTCGATAATGTCATCCTCTGATCTATCAGTAAGTAATTATACAGATACAACATCATTTTCAGCTCAAGAAGATGAAAGATCATCATAGCATTGTTTGTAGTTCTCCAGACATTTCTGTAAGGTTCTCAATTATGAATCAGAATATTTCCTTTTGTTAGATTAGTACAGTTTTTTTTTTTGGGTAGACAGGTCAGCATGGTTTGTTTCTGTGTTAGGCCTTCAAGTTGACTTTCCTTATCCATTGGACATTGCAGAATGGCTTAAGATCTCAGCAAGACAGATAATTAATGACCCATTGCATAAGCTTTCTAACATAATGCACTATGTTGTTGTTCTTAGTTATTTGGCACTGGCAAGATTTATGTCTCTTTGGATAACACTTGCTGTTTTTATATGAAGTAAAAATGATCAAAAAATATTGCCAGTGGGTAAAATTCTCTTTTAAAGCATTCCTAAATGAATTATACAAAATTGTTTGGAAGCATCCATTCTATATTAAATAGATTTAAACTAATAATAAATACTCATATAAATATCCTAACATGCACTTCAAGTCTATTCTACTTAGTTTTGCAAATGAAATGTTGCCAGGAGTCTCTCCCAAGTATCAATGTTGAACTACACTCTGTCATGAAACAGTATACAGCCTATAGATATAGTTGGTCTGCATTTGAACTCAAAACATCAGGATTCAAATCAGATGTAATATCTTCTTCATAGAACTTTACATATTCTTAACTTGAGAAAAAAAAAATAGTCTAGAATTGAGGGCTCTCTTGGGAATTTGACTGCTAAATGCCAATTTTCAGAATATTACGCACCAGAAAACTCAAACAAAGACAGAGAGAAAAGCAACACGATCCAAAGATCCTTAAGTCAATACCAAAGAGTTCCTAGCGTATTGGCATCTCCATCTCAAAAAGAAAATAAATATTGATCATATAAATAATTAACAAGGCTTCCATATATTTACATATTGCATTTTCTATATATACTGGAGTGACTGAAGACTTAAAATTACAAACTTAAACAATGACAGAACCACGATCACTGATCAAAAGGAAAACCAATATTAATATTTGACATTTATTAACTCTCACTCTGCTTCATGGATTATTTCTAAACCTTTCATCACAAGTCTAGCAGGCTCACTGGCTCTTATACTTGTTGAAGGACCTTCAGAGTCAAAAGGATTAGGATGTATTGGTAATTTGTCTCCTTCTCCTTCCAACATTTGAACCACCACCTGCATTGATGGTCGATCCACAGCATGCCATTGGATGCACCACAGTCCCACTACTCCTAATTTTTTTTTGGCAATTATAGCATCCTCTTCTTCCTCAATATGAATTCTTATAACTTCTCTTCCTTCTAGAATATTATAGATCCATTCAGGATAGTAGATGCGGGCTGCATTTTCTTCTGCATCATTGGTGATCCTTCTTCCCCCCGTCACTTGAAGTAGAAGCATCCCATAACTATAAACATCGACTCTGTGAGGCACATTTCCAAAGTTTCGAGAGAATACTTCGGGAGCCATATAGCCAAAAGTACCTATGGCATTAGTTATTGACAATATACTTTGATTTTTAGAACATAATTTGGCTAGCCCAAAATCAGATATTTTTGGAGTGAAATCACTATCTAATAGAACATTTTAAGGTTTTATGTCAAGATGAAGTATGTGCTTCTCACAACCATGATGAAGATACTCAATTCTTTTGGCTATGCCTGAAGCAATTTCTTGTAACTTTTTCCAACCAGGAAAGTTTTGCCTTTGGCCAAGTGAATTTATGAAATTTTGTAACGAACCATTTGGTAAGTACTCATAAACAAGTGCTCTTCTAAAGCCATCAGCACAAAAGCCGACTAAGTGAATGATGTTGACATGGTGGATTTTGGCCATGGTTCCAACTTCAGTGATGAAGTCTTCACCATTTCCTATTTCTGAATCAGAAAGAATTTTCACTGCAACTTTGTATGGGGATGAAATTTTTCCTTCGAACACAGCACCAAAAGATCCTTCTCCTAACTTTTCTTTAAATTGATTGGTAATTCTCTTAATTTCAGCATAAGAATACCTGGTGGGCTCAAGTGCTTTGTAATCTTTCATAAACTTGTCAAGTATTTCCCGGCTTTCTTTCTATGATCTGTAAGAATCGATGAAGTAATGAACTGTAACAATAATTGCTGCTAGAAGAAATGAGCCCACAATGACTCCTGCACATATAAGAACTCAAATTTAACAGGAAAAACTATACTTCATTGGAAAATTCTAAGCTCGATTTGAGAGCTAACCTTCGGTTAAAAACTTGTTTGATGAACCTGCAAATAAAATAAATTAGCATGATATTGGTCAGCTTTGCACATGCACTCAAGTACTTATATATTACTTCTCTTGTCCTTAATATAGGACCTAATTAGAAGGTTAGTCTTGATCCTAAATATAGGACATATTTCTCATATTTACCAATTCTTTCATATATTACCCCTATTAAATAATTAAATACCACAATAATACTTATTACTCATTAATAATACACCTATATATTTTATAAAATGAGTGAGTACTTATTACTCATTAATTCCACACATACATCAATTCTACCTTTATATTTTTAATAAAATAATTTAAATTTTCTTTTTAAATGTCAGTTTTTAAAAGAACTTTTAACTGAGAGTATTTTGGGAAACATATGTTATATTTATGATTATTACTTAATTTAACTAATTTTCTTAATTTAATCAAAATAGTTAAATAGGTCCTATATTAAGGACCGGAGGAATATTATATTTCTTTATATCATAGATTTTTTAGAAAGCATAGGCCCACATGACTCAGAGAGTGGTGTTAGCTGCTCCTTAGGTGATGCCCCTTAATTTTGGAGCTTTTTCTAAATTCTTTTTTGTGATTTTTTTTTACCATTAGATTCTACATATTTTGATATCTTATTTGCAGAAAATGATTTAGTTTTTAATGTTTTATGATTTTTTTAAAAAAGATTTAGCACTCTAAGTTAAAAAGAAATTGAACCATTCGAAGTGCTAAATCTTTAAAAAAATCATAAAAAATTAAAAACTAAACCATTTTTTATACATAAAATATCAAATATCACTCGTTTTATACAGAATTTAATGATAAAAAGAACAAGAAGAAAAATTTGGGAAGAGCCCAAAATTAAAAGGAAGTAGGGGGCAGCACCAAGGGGTAGCTTACACCCCGCTCCCCGTGACTCATCTTAATAAGAATTTTAATGCTTTCCATGTTCATGTGAATTTGTATATCTATTAGAAGCGACAATTATATGAATGAATCCATGGTATGGTCTGACATTTGGATTTGTTGAGAAAGTAGACCAGATCATACCTATTTCAAAGCATGCAGTTTCATTACTAATGCTGCTATTCTTGAACCCGCATCTTCTTCCCGATGATTCGCAATGTTTACACATAGGATTAGACCACTTCAGATGAAGACTGTAATCATCTCTAAATATCTTCCCTGGGATGGATGAAATGTTAAATACATTGGTGCAAGACAGCAACTGAAATTGTCTGATGTATGCACTTGATGAAATGGCATATACGTGATAGGTAGATCTGCGCTGGCAAGTTGAGATTAATTTCACATCCTTGGAGCTTTTCGGCTGCGAGCAATTGAAGACGGTGAAGTCATCATCATCATCATCATCAAGAAACAAGCTGGCTTGCAGCTGGAAAGGGGAAGGAGGAGGAAGAGTGACGCTAGGGAGATGCAGAGAGAGGCAACCATGAGGATTATAGAGCTGAACAGTTTGGAAGTGTAATCAATGTGTTTGGCGTTGAGTTTGATTGAAGGAGGTAGCTCAAGAACAGCAAATTGGCGGAGGAACATTGTAAACCAAACCCAGGATAACCACACTCTCTAGGTTGGCGTCCTATTATCCGGAAAGGAAATGGAACAGCAAGGTTTCCACATTTTGTTTCAGGTTCTGGACAGCTACTTCAACTTCCTATAGATTCTGAGAACCCAGCTATTAGCAACAAGCAAATGATAAAGAAGGAGTTTACCGTTGAAGTTCCCATCATCTCCACCCTCTGGCTTTCTCCTAGTAGCTAGATGAGTGATTTTTGTTTTTTTTCCCCTTAAATTTAGTCCTTGTAGTTTCAAAATTCCTTAAAACCTATCAAAGTTAGTCCTTGAAGTTAACTATAAATTATATAGAAGTCCCTGACAAGAAAGCGTGGGAAAATGAGACGATAATATACTGACAAGGTCCACGCCATCACGATCACTTGGGTTAAATGGTAGCTTTGTTTGCTAATAACTACGCATGCATTCACTGAAGCCCCCTGTCTTTGTAACAGGAAAACAGAGCCTTGGCGCATTTCTCTCTCTCTGTTTTCCCCCCTCCCCCTTCTCATTAGTTATATCATTTTTTAATGCAATCATTAGTTATATCATTGCTTAACACTCTCTATAATGTGAATAAAAAAATTATTAAATAATGAGAGGATACTTCTGTCAGATTTATCTTATAGTGTTGTTATAACTTCTCTATCTTATACACTCTCTGTAATTTAGCTGTGGTGTTCTTGACTCAAACACATGTGTGCATGTAATTTGTAAAATCTATTGATGGAATCCAAAGGCATTGAAGGAACAATAACATCGAATAAAGACTTGTACAAAAAGGTATTTCACACGGTCAATAAGCTTATGCATAGAGCAGTAAAGACCAAAAACTAGACTCAAATGAATGAAATGATACGACGGATGGTGCGAACATGGACGAACTAGCTTATGCATTTGAAAAAATTTTATGGAGCCACCAAATCCCTTATGTCAAATAAGCAGAGTAACATCTAACCCTTTTTAAGAAGCTGTTTGCTGTATTCTAAGGACCGTTTTACAAATTCTGAAGTTATAGGGACAAAATTGAAAACTGATGCAAAGTACAAGGACTAAGGGTCTAATTTTACTGATTCCCTCCCATGATATGCCTGCATAATCCAGATAAATCGTTGAACTGGGCTCAGGTGTTGGCATCAGAACCATTCGGGCAGAAGAAATGCCAATGTCATGATGATAAGAAATAAATGGTTGAG